GCACGAAGAGGCAGAGCGCGCTGCCTTCCGCAAGAAGCGCAAGCGGACCTCGACGGCCGCGTCCAGGCGCTCAAGAAGACCAAGCCGCCGACCATCGACCTCTTTGCGCCCGACAAGACCGCGCCGCCGCCAATCGCCAGCATCAACAAGTACACAGACGACGGCATCGCGCTCGGCGGCGCGCTGAGCACGGTCCACGACGAGATAGGCCGACGCAAGCTGCTTGCAGCGATCTTTCGTGCGTGGTCGTTCCGACACCAGACGCACGCCACTCCGGCGCGACGAGCGGCTGCACGAAGAGGCAGAGCGCGCTGCCTTCCGCAAGAAGCGCAAGCGGACCTCGACGACCGCGTCGAGGCGCTCAAGAAGACCAAGCCGACACCGCCGGCCATCGACCTCTTTGCGCCCGACAAGACCGCGCCGGCGGCCTTAGCTACGCGATCTGCCTTACGGCGCAGGCGATGCCTTCGATCGGCGGTCACATTTTCCCTGTGTGCATTCTCAGCGCCAGCTGTGCGTACGCTGCACAGTGCGTTGGGTACCTCTGCCTCCGCGCCCGGTTCAAGCACTTGCCGCGGTAGTTTACGAGTTCGCTGGGCGTCTATGGTGCCGTCTTCTCGATGTGCGTCGGGTAGGATTCCCGAGTTACAGTAAACTCCAATTAATGTACAGTAAACCGGTGTAAACCTTTACGTATACCGTGTAACTAAGTGTCAACTAGTGTCAACTGTTCCATTCCAGCCAAATTCTCCTTTAATTATGTTGCACAAACACACAGTCACAAAATACAAAAACTTGTAGTCATTAGCTATCCTGTTCGTTACTCGCCGTCGGAGGAGATGCCAGGCCAGACCATTATTGTCGTGGACGATCGAAGTGGAGAATGAAGTTCGGTTCTTGATGCTGTCGCAACCACAAAGTTCCCTCCAGGTGGTTTGTAAACCGCGATTTTTTGGTTTACACGATTTACGTAAAAGTTCGTACACTATTTGTTTACGTACACTTGTAACCACGCACCCTAGCGTCGGGGTTGTCAACGTAGCTCAACACGAATGCAAATCTAACTGCCAATGAACTGTCTCGAGTTGTCGCGTGCTAGGCTGTCTGCAGGTCGCCCACCCTTGTATCCGATAGCGCTGGAATCCCAATTTGGGACGAGGGATTCTCAAATACCAGTAGACCAGGTACCAGTACGGCACACAAAGCTCTCTATTCCTACGAGATGCGAGCAGTCACATCAGGTAACAAGTTGTCACCAACAGACTCCATGGACATGTGTGTGTGCACCGGTGCGTCAACGGGCTGGGATTACATGTAATACCACACGCACGCTTCCGCAGACACCTGGCCCAACCCACAGCTACCGACCTCGACCGCCAACGCCGACCACACCTTTATCATTGTCTTTACCGACGTGCCTGAGCTCCGAAGTCGTCAACCTGCTCCTCTCAGTGATCGATGGAACTCGACCAACGTCACATGCCATGCGATCATCCGATGCGATCCAGCAACAGAACGATTGAACCGAGACCAGCCGGTTAAGCGCTTGAATATACGGTTTAAAAACGGTTTGGATCGGCCAGCCAATCACAAAGGCACCAGAAATCCTCAAAACAAATACGTATGGTATAGCGTTTCAGAGGTGATACCGATGGCCGACCCGGCGCGCTCGGACGGGATCAAGGTCCTCGAGGACGCCCAGCGCAAGCTGGACGAAGCGCTGGCCAAGGTCGAGAAGCAGATCGAAGAGCAGGAGCTCGCGTACCTCGATGACACGGCCCAGGCAACATCATCCGCGGCTGGGACGGCTACGCCGACCTCAAGGGCAAGAAGGACATCGTCCTCAAGAAGGTGCGCCCGTACACAATCCACGAGAAGCTCTTCTCCAACTCGAGCATCCCGCCGCTGCCCAAGGTGGCGGCCGCGACCGAGCCGGCGCCAGCGATTGGCGGCGACGAGTACGCGCGATGTGCTACGCGCCTCTCTGACGTCGTGTGTAGGAAGAAGAAGGCCGAGTCGAAAGCATCCATCAAGGCCAGCAGTGCCGCCAGCAAGAACCTCAAGCTCAAGGTCAAGAAGCGCAAGCACAAGGACACGATCGGGTCCGAGGACGACGAGGCCGCGCCGTAGCCGCCGCCATGCACGTAGGCGCGTACGATGATTTATGCTCGTGTTCCTATATCTAATCACACCAGTGCATACCATGCATACGTGCATACGAGCCGTCTTCGTGCTGAAAGCTGCGGATGGCGGCGCATTTCGGCCTTTGCATCCAAGCTCTGCGACCTCGTCACTCAAGAGACACCCAAGAACCAAACTGGCGGGGTTGCACGAGCCGGATCACTTCAGAAGAGTGCAATGGCCAGGTGCTCACCGTTTTAAGGTACTCCTTTTGTCCACGCTGCGTTTAGAGTTGGCCCTAACTTCAGAGCGGGTGGCCACACAAGCTTCCGTCTATTTTGGGCCGACAAGCAGCTCCAGTGTTTCCAACTGCATCGCTACTCGCTCGGCCTTTCCCGCAAAAGTCGCGTCCTCGAATCAAACCAACACGCTCACAACGATGGGCAAGCACACAGAGCACTAACCTTCAATACACAAAACGATGCATGGTAGAAGCGGCAAAGGAGACAATCCATATCTTTGGGAACATCCCATACTGCCTGCCACGACGAATCCCATGACAGAGAAAAACAACAACGAAAAACTATACGCATTTCGACAATACGTCTCAAGGGTACATACACTTGACCAAGACCGCCCATCCACTCGTTCTCTGTCACCGCCAGTGTGATTTGGCGACATGGTACACGGCAGTTATGACGTCAGCCAGTGGGCGTTAACTGGAGAGTAGGTGGCCACACACAGTCTATTTTGGACCCAGAAGCGGTTCCTATATTTGCCTCAGTTCCCAATCTGTCTTTCCCGCGATGCTCTCGCTTGTGCAGCCGCAACTGACGGCTTTGGACATATGGGCCCTTGGCATCACAATTGTCATTGGCGGCCAGTACTTTTCGTGGAACGCTGGCCTCGTCGCCGGCTTTTACAGCTACTTTGGCGCGCTGCTGCTCATGTCAACCGCGTACATCACCATGGTGCTCTGCCTCGCCGAGGCGTCGAGCATGCTGCCGTTCGCTGGTGGCGCGTACGGTCTCTCGCGCTGCTCGCTCGGGTTCTACCTCGGATTTATGATTGGCTGCTGCGAAGCGCTCGAGTATTTGGCGTACGTGGCATCGTCCGTGCTCATGATGGGACAGATGCTCGTCATCATCTCTCCGTCGCTCAAAGGGTACGAGCCGATCATCTGGCTCTGCGTCTACGCCTTAGCCATCGCCGTGCATCTCCATGGTGGCGCCACATTTTGGTTTGCCAACCGAGTTCTTGCCGCTGTCTCGCTGGCTGTGAGTCTAGTCTATATTCTCGGAGGTCTCTTTCTCATCGATGGCGACATCAACGCAACGTCGCCGCTACTGTACGCCTTTAGCTTTTCAGAGGTGCTGGGCGCCCTCCCGCTCACAGCCTGGATGTTTGTCGGTATCGAGTCACTCAATATGGCCAGCGACGAAGTGCTGGAGCCCAAGACGGTGATTCCGAGAGGGCAGATTGCTTGCGTCGTGACGTTGGCGGCGACAGGTCTCGCAACCTATCTCGTGTCGGCCTTTGTGCCGCCCGGGCTGGATTCGCTCGCTGTCGCGGTCGTGCCCTTGAACGAAGGTTCGTGTTTGTCATTTTCTGTTCTGCATTGTACTGGTACTATATCTTGATGGCGCATAGGGTTTCGACGGCTCTTTGGTCTCTCGGAAGCCACGGCCTGTCTGCTCTCGCTTCCAGCCACATATGCGACGATTTCCGGCTTTATCTTTCGTTTCGCAAGCTCGGGGGGCCATCGCCCACTCGAAATTGCTGCCACCGATTTGCGCCTATGTCAGCGTCACACATGGCACGCCATTGGTTGTGCTAGTGACCGGGTGCAGCCTCAGCTACATGGTCTGCCTCGCAGCGTACTTTGTACCGAGTGTCAACACCCACTTGTTTTCCGTGTGCATGCTGAGCAGCTTTTGCGCCTACAGCGCGCAGTGCTATGGGTATATCTATCTTCGTCGACGCTTTCATCACCTCGAGCGGACGTTTACGAGCCCTCTTGGGGTGCCCGGCGCCGTCTTTGCTTTTTGCGTCTGGCAGCTCAACATCCTTTCGATTCTTGGGTTCCAGACATCACCCGGCGTCGCGTTTGGCGCCTTTGCCGTTCTCTGGTGTCTCCTCACCATCTACTACTACGCCTATGCCAAGCACCGCCAAACCATCTCGGACGACGAGCGCAAGATCTTATTTGTTGCACACGTGGCCAACTGTACGTTCTTATGGTGACGATATATTAGTGCTATGTAGACGACGTGCGTAGACAATGCGTCGCGCGCGACGCAGATCAAGTCGGGCAATACAAGCAAACTCAAAAAGTCGGGCCACTCGAGTCGTCGGTTGCTAGGACGGGGTGGCGCCGTCAAGTACCAAATCAAAGCCTCGAATCAAACCAACACGCTTACAACGATATGCACAGACCACTAACCTGAAATACACAAACGATACATGGTAGAACCGGCAAAGGAGACAATCCATATCCTCGATATCGTCCAACTGCCACGACGAATCCCATGACAGAGAAAACAACAATGAAAACTATACACATTTCGACAATCCGTCTCAAGGTACATACACACTTGATACGTCTCGACCGAGACCGCCCATCCACTCGTTCTCCGTCACCACCAGTGTGAGTTTGCGACAAGGTGCACACGGCAGTTATGACGTCAGCCAGTGTGCGTTAACTGGAGAGTAGGTGGCCACACAGACTGCCGTCAGTCTATTTTGGACCCACAAGCGGTTCCTATATTTGCCTCAGTTCACAATCTGTCTTGATGTTGTCGCTTGTGCAGCCGTTAATAACTCGAGAGTGGGTGGCCACACAGACTGCCGTCAGTCTATTTTGGACCCACAAGCGGTTCCTATATTTGCCTCAGTTCTCAATCTGTCTTTCCCGCGATGCTCTCGCTTGTGCAGCCGCAACTGACGGCCTTTGACATTCGGGCCCTGGGCATCACAATCGTCATTGGCGGCCAGTACTTTTCGTGGAACGCTGGCCTCGTCGCCGGCTTTTACAGCTACTTTGGCGTGCTGCTGCTCATGTCCACCGCGTACATCACCATGGTGCTCTGCCTCGCCGAGGCGTCGAGCATGCTGCCGTTCGCTGGTGGCGCGTACGGTCTCTCGCGCTGCTCGCTCGGGTTCTACCTCGGATTTATGATTGGCTGCTGCGAAGCGCTCGAGTATTTGGCGTACGTTGCGTTGTCGGTCTTGATGCTCGGGAAGATGGTCACGACAATGATTCCGGCCATCGAGCCGATGCAACCGGTTCTTTGGCTGCTAATTTTCTTCCGAGCATCATGATCAACGACACAACGTACTCGAGGGTTTCGCAGCACCCCATTATAACCCCGAGGTAAAACCCAAGCGAGCAGCGCGCAATACCGTACGCGCCACCAGCGAACGGAAGCATTCTCGAGATCTCGGCGAGGCAAGACACCATGCAGCAGTACGCGACACTCATGAGCAGCGTCGCGCCGAGGTAGCTGTAAAAGCCAGCGACAAGACCCGTGTTCCACGAGAAATGCTGACCGCCGACGCCGATCGTGATGCCGAGCGTGTAGAGGTCGATGGTCGTTGGCTGCATCGTGGGTGAAACAGAAATACAACAGACGCTGGGAAAAGAGCTGTGGTGGAGAGATTGTGGGCGTTATCACAACCATATATCCGCGAGGAGGTGATGCGATGACCTTCGGTGCTACCTGGTTCTTCGTTCGGTTCCGAGGCACGACCACCAACGCTCCTCTCCTCACCGGACATGCCTTACGAGCGCATTAGGAGTCCCCCACTTTATCTTTATAGCTGCAAAACTTTATTCAACAACGAGGTGGTGACGATGGGTGACATCAGCGTTGGTTAACCTCCGACGCTTTCGTTGGCCGCCTTGGGGCGGACGGTTGACGTATGTGATAGCGCCCGCGGTGCAAACACAAACAGCAGCGAGGGGAGAGCCGTCTCCCGTGAAGCAGGCAGTTGTATTGGGCTTATACCACAGAGACAAAGATGAAGTGAGTTACATGCGCCATCCCTATGACTACCGGATGCCTTTCTAGGAAGGGACACTACCACTGGGACACTACCGGCATGGAAGGATAGAAGGATATACTAATCCTACGACTAGTATACAATACGAAAGCCCTTAAAAGATGCATCTTCACTCGGCTTCTCCAGCTGATCACAGCTTGCATTGGTCGGACATGGCTTAGCCTTTGGTCCACACACAACACGTCAAAGCTGTCGTGTACCTTGTCGCAAAATCACACCGGCTGTGACGGAGAACGAGTGGATGGGCGGTCTCGGTCAAGTGTATGTACCCTTGAGACGTATTGTCGAAATGCGTAAAGTTTTCTATTCTTGTTTTTCTGTCATGGGATTCGTCGTGGCAGGCAGTATGGGATGTTCCCAAAGATATGGATTGTCTCCTTGCATCGTTTTGTGTATTGAAGGTTAATGCTCTGTGTGCTTGCCCATCATTGTGTTGGTTTGATTCGAGGACGCGACTTTGATTTGGTACTTGACGGCGCCACCCCGTACTAGCAACCGACGACTCGAATGACCCGACTTTTTTAGCTGTTTTTACTGCCGGACTTGGTTTGTGTCGCGCGCGACGCATTGTCTACACACGGCGTCTCCATAGCACCAATATATCGTCACCATAAGAACGTACAGTTGGCCACGTGTGCAACAAATAAGATCTTGCGCTCGTCGTCCGAGATGGTTTGGCGGTGCTTGGCATAGGCGTAGTAGTAGATGGTGAGGAGACACCAAAGAACGGCAAAGGCGCCAAACGCGACGCCGGGTGATGTCTGGAACCCAAGAATCGAAAGGATGTTGAGCTGCCAGACGCAAAAAGCAAAGACGGCGCCGGGCACCCCAAGAGGGCTCGTAAACGTCCGCTCGAGGTGATGAAAGCGTCGACGAAGATAGATATACCCATAGCACTGCGCGCTGTAGGCGCAAAAGCTGCTCAGCATGCACAC